TGAAGAGTAGGCCTGTACATGAACACACTGATGGTTCTGAGCACATTCATGGTCTCTTTTGTTCATTCATAGTAACTTACGCCAGTTTTCCCAACATTAATTGAGTCTGGATCTCCTTATTGCTAGGCATTGTATTCCTATCGTATGGAACAGATGTTAAGAGGTAATATTTATAACATTTGATCAGGCACTCACTATGTGCTAGATTTTCTATGAAATCTTCTTACATAGATGGCTCCATTTAATCCTTATGATAGTCAAATGCAGTGGGATTTGCATATGAATACACCACCCCATTTTCAAGAGAGGAAATGGAAATTCAGAAAGAGAACATACTTTGAGACAGGTTACATAGCAGATGACCTTGAATGGGGCTTACGAAATCTGTATGACCCCTGTGAACCTTAGTTCTCAACCACTACACTACATTTGGCAGTGGAGTTATCAGGTGCTGGTGACCTGAGGGACGACTGCTAGTTCCTACATACTGCTGGTTCCTTGTAGTAACAAGTGAAAAGGGTACAGGTAAATGCACTTGGTTTGAGTCACTAGGGTTTATTTTCAATTTCCGTTGTACCTGACACTTTTTCTTAGCTTGTTCTCACTTTCTTTGTCCTAAGAAAACTTTTCAATTACTTGTAAAAAGAGGAAGAAAAAAAAAAATTCCTGTTCAGCAGCTAAAGTCAGAAAATGTATGTGTCTTGTCCAAGGTCACAAGTACATTATGGTACTAGAATTAGAAAGTAGATATTTATGTCTGGGGTAAGTTTCCTTTGACTATACAGTGACTCTTGAATTCATAAATAGAATATATCTCTGAACCTGCACTGTTCTAGTTGATATGGACTGAGGAGGCTGAGGAATGGGATGTGGGGACAATGCCTTTAAATTGGACAGAGGTAAGTGTGCTGGTGGTAATGGTCTTCTTAGAATATCATAAAGGTAGATATCTCAAATGCCCTTCTTAGCACTTAGCACATATTTTTTCAGGTTTTATGGTAGGAGCAGGGAAATGTAAAGATTTCATTTTCTGAGGATAACCTGTAAACAATCATCACATCCCTTTACTTATTCAGACTGTGGAATACCTGTTGATGGTCATTGTGACACACTGCTTTGGAATTCCTGGTCCTTGCTCTAAGTGAGGAGATAGTCTCTGTGGAATCCTGGTTTCTTAGTGGAGGTATCTATGATAGAGCTTGGAAGAGGGGAGGATAGGATTTGGAAGAGCAGCTGTGTATTACTCATCTCATCAAGGTCAAAGTATTCTCTCCTAGATGACATGAAGGTATATTATCCCCTGAGAACAAAACTATGCAAAAATTACAAATACTTAAACAATTATGTTACATGCATCATGGGAAGCAGGACAGTTGTGTAATAGCTACAGAGAATTGGAAACCAGAATTTGCAGAGCTTTTGCAAAACAAACTAAACACCCCTGATTAGCTGAGCATCTATTCTGGCTGAGATGGACTTGCAAGGAGATAGGGAACATTTGGCGGCACGGTTGCTAAGAATGAACATTATCTGTTCGTTAAAGTAGGTCAAGGTAAGCAAATGTGGTGTTTTTTTTTTCCCCATGTAATTCAGTTGGCTTTAGTTTTGTGTGTATGTGGGCCATAAAAACGATATAATAGACAATCATTCATTGCAGGTGATTAAAAGGAAATGTCTGTCTAGATTAAAAGAGGAAAGATGTACAGCAAAGCACCATGATCCCATTACTTATATAGCCACTGTCATAATTAAGGGAGCTCATTATTAAAAATGTGGCACCAGGAAACAACCAAGAGTATGCTGATTCTGCAATTACCTTATCAGGGTTAGGGAATCCCTTCTAATACTTTGTTGATGAGTCCCCTGGAAATTAATTTGATCTTTCTGAGCCTTGGTTCATTCATCTGAAAATTAAAATAATAACCCTTAAATTACTTTGGTGATGAGGTCATATGATACTTGAACCTGCCAAGTTCTAAACATATAATTACTAATAATAATGGTTTAAAAAATGGGAGCAATAAAGGCAGAGTAGAAAGGAGGCCATGACTGAGAGGAGAGCTCCTGAAAGACTTGTCATAGCTGGGTGTGCAAATAGGAGGTCTGCTCCATGGCAAGGAGAGTGTGCCCAGCTTTCCTGGTGAGAGGGAAGTCTGCAGGCAAAGAGAAATGAGCCAACTGCACATGAAATAAGAATCCAAGAGAGAGCCGGGCGTGGTGGCGCACGCCTTTAATCCTAGCACTTGGGAGGCAAAGGCAGGTGGATCTTTGTGAGTTCCAGGCCAGCCTGGTCTACATAGTGAGTTCCAGGACAGCTGGGGCTACAAGGAGACCCTGTCTCAAAAAGACCAATAAAAAAAAAAAAACAAGAGAGAGAGAGAGAGAGTAAATACTTACTTTGGGATCAGTGTCAATAAGAGAGGAAAAAACGTGAGGTGAAGTTGTGTCTAATTTTTTTTTCTGCTTAGTTCACCTTGGTTCTTGTTCCATGTGTGTATAATGGTAGTCCATGGTCACTGTGATGTCAAAGAGAATCTTGCTTTTGCTGGTTGGTTTAATCAGGCTTTGATAAGCCAGAATTTAAAAGGCTCATTGTATGGTCCCTAAGAAGCCCTGATTACATCAAGCTTTGAAAACAGTTGCCGTTAAAAGTGCTCATAAGAAATCAGTCATCTTATTTATGGTTCAGTGCTAGGGTTCTTGAAGTTTAGGCTTCCTGCTCCAATGTCCTGATGGGTAGTCCAGCAAGGAAGCAATAGAGCTGGAGAAGATAGCATGACCCCATGTTCTCCCTCCGCTGTATCTCCTACTTGTTAAGATCATGGAGGAAAAAGGAGAATATGCTGAGGGTGCTTTTAGAGGGATTTGTGAAGATTTGGTGAAAGTCACAGAAAGTCTGCAGTCACTGGTTCATAAATAGGAAGAGTTTGGGCTGGGGAGATGGATTACTGGGTAAGAGTGCTTGCTGTGTAAGCATGAGAGCCTGAGTTCAAATTCCTAGCACCCACATGGCTGCATTCTGTAACCCCAATATTGTGGGAGAGGGCAGAGACGGGATGCTCACTGGGGCTTGCTGGTTGCTAGCTTAGCTCCAGGTCCAGTGAGAGACCCTGTCCCAAAAGACAGAGATGATAGGGCAGGATCACTGAAGTCCTTCCCTGCCCTCTGTAAGTAAGTGCTCAATCTCTGAGCCAAGCACACATGCACCATTCACATATACACTATACTAACACAGGTATACTACATTTATATACACACTCCAAGTAAAAATTTAAAAAGAGGAAGACAGAATATGTCCTCTTTACAAACTGAAGACAATGCGTGACTGAAGGTCTCTGAAAAATGAGAATAGACAGTGGAGAGATGTAACTTAGAGTTAGTGCTGAAGTGGAAAGGATTAAACAGTAAAAGGCGAATGTGGACCAGCTGGCACTGTGAGGCGCTTCATCCTAAGTTAAGGTGGAGGAGTGTGAGTGGGAGCTCTTTTTGGTCAGAGAATGAGCTCTGGTAGTTTTCTGTCAAGTATTGCCTTTATTTATCATCATACTGTTCTGGATAAGCTTGAAATTTGAGAATTGCTAAATGTCCAAATGCAATATTCTTAATCATTTTTCTTTTGGATCAAGCTTTATGTAGATTACAAGTACTTTGAATGACAAACTGAAGTCTTTGAAAACTATTTCTCTATAGTTAAGTATTTTATAATGTCAAAATGAGCAAATATAGGCAGGTTTTAGTTCTCTCTAAAGATGCTGAAGATACTTAAAAAAATACTACAAAGAGCCAGGCAAGGTGGTTCACACCTTTAATCCCAGCACTCAGGAGGCAGAGGCAGGCAAATCTCTGTGACACTGAGGTTAGCCTAGTCTATGTGGGAAGTTTCAGGCCAGATGAGGCTATAGGGAGACCTTGTCTCAAAAAACAAAACAAAATCCTAGGAAGAATTTCAAAACATTTTAAACTTGTTTTCAAATTAGGTTAGTAATACACATTATTGGAACAAAGAAGAACACAGTACAGATATAAAAAAGCAAAAATAACCTGTCACTGTCCGTCAATATTATCTCAGTATAAATAGTATGGTATACATCCTTCTATATAATGCCTAACTCCCAGTATAAGAAAAAAATCCAAAAGAGGCAAAATATTAGACAAAACCAGGGAGTTCTGATATCAGAGTGTAGATAGAGAAATCAAGGACCCAAGGACAGAGAACAGGAAGGTAAGCAGCAAGGATGTGTGTGTATGTGTGTGTGTGTGTGTTTTCCTGACATGAAATGTGTTGTCTAAGTTGTAAGATAAGAAACAAATGCCTTATAGGTATACAATGTATCTTTCTACTTCATGGGAGAATTGAAGAAAAACTATGTATCAACCTATCAATCAATCAATCAATCAATCAATCAACCAATCAATCAATCATCTATCCATCTATTCATCCATTTACCTATCAATCCATCCACCTATTTAAATACATGCATATCTGTATGTATATGCATCTTTACATGCACATGTATGAGCTTTGGCATAGAAGATCCACATCCCATCTAAATTATTTTGTAAAGACATATGCTAATAATTGCATTGTATTTGGACTGTTCTGAAACTTGGATGTTTTCTTGTAGTTCTCGGTTTTATTTAAAAATCAGCAGATTATCTTTACATAGTTCCTAGTGAGGCACAATGCAATAGGTCATTGTGGTTTTATGTTCAACCAAGTTCAGACTCTACTCTTGAAGCTCTTTGTGTTTCCCATTGGGCTTCAACTTTAGAATCTACCTAAAGTTTCCTAAGGTAAGCATTAAGTATCTCTGTTCCTGCGTTCACTGCTGGAATGAGGTGCATTATAAATAAGTGAGTCTGGATTCAAAGAGTATGGCTCAGGGGTTGTAGAATGTTTACATTGTTTTGTGTCTGTGAGTTGTACTAGGAAGCTGTTGAACAGAGTTTCAAATTAGCAGGCACATGCACCTCAAAAATGTTGTTGTTCTCTCAAACAGAGCAGTTCCAGATTTACTAGTGCCCATGTTATGGATGGAGAGAGTCACAGTAATGATGGTGGCAAGAGACCTGTATTCTGAGGCCGAGAAGCCCCACGCCTGGCCATCAGGGCATCAGATTTAAGTGACCAGCTCCAATATTCTTTTTGAAATGCGGAAAAAAAAATCCTGTAGTGTATTCTTTGCATTTATGTTTAAGTTTGAGAAAATACACGGTCAGTGCTGACTGAAGTGTTGATATTGAAGTTTAATAATAAGTATACAGCGTATGTGAAGTGCTCACTCCTTAGTCTTTCTAGATGATTAAAGTGATACAAATTGAAAAGCGCATCCTAAGCTGTCGGAAGCTACAGAGTACCTTAAGGTTCTCATTCATTGTGATAGTAATAGAGCTTATTGATGCATTTATTATTGTAAACACGTCCTTGAAACCAATTATTTCTTCCTGTAGATGGTTAGAATTTTGAATATTATCTGGGAAACCTCTAAAAGCATACTCTGTCAACTTGTACACAGCACTTGTAAGTACTCTCTATGAGAACATTCAGAAGATGTTTTAGCATTTGACTCATTAGTTTAATTCCATTGCCTATCGAACTGAAGGACATGTTTGTCGACTGTACTGGGAAGAATCGATTAGTACTTTTCACCTCTGTCCAATTTCTCTTTATTCGCATACTTAAAACAATTCTTTCTCTCTCTCTCTTTTGAAGCCACAGCTGTGTTGTTCATTACTTTTTTTAAATAAAGAAAATATATTGCACTGACATCCTGAGTCATTTTAGTTTTGTTGGTAGCATTTATTTTACATCTAAAGAATCAGCAACGCAGTGGGTAATAAAGATGTGAGACTTTGACAGGACTGAAATAAAGGTACCTTATATTAAGAAAACCAGCCAAGTTGTACAATTCAGTAATTCTCAATTTTCCCATAACGGAGATTTGTGTAGACTTCTCAGAAACAACAGAGCTTAGATTTTTATAAAAAGCTCGCTGGTTGGGAATACCTGTAAACAGCTGCAAGCAGTGGAAGTTTTCCAGGCAGCCCAGAATATCATAAGGAATGTCACTGACTTCCTTGTCTAAAGGATAGGACATCTCTCAAGACCATACTCTGAAAATTAGAACCACCAAGACACATTGTAGCCTTTATTCTTTCCCCTTACCAGGCAACATTTTCTAGTTAGAAGAGCAGGTTCTTCCACTACCTGTGAGTATTTAGAGCAGTCATTGCACTGGCAACAAGGACTATACAGGTTGCAGACACCTGTTGTGAAATCCTCGTGAAACTGCAGGAACTATCTTAATCCAATGTTATGACCACTCAAAGAAGAAACAAAAAAGCTTGAAGAAAGTATTGAAGAGAAAAAGCAACAAAGAGGGAATGTTCCCGAATGTATGTTTAGGAGAGAGAGAGGAGGAAGAAAAAGAAGAGGAAGTGGGGATAGAAGGAATCAACACAGACACATGGAAGTAAATCCACTTGTGTGAAGTGATAGCCATTTTGAAACCTCGTAAAATATTGCTACTGATAAGTTACATGCTTTTCCTAAAATAAAGGCTGTGCTACGCTACAGTAACAACATTAAACAAAATCTCCCGTCTTCTCCATTCTCTAGTGTTTACTCTAATAAAAGCTTATTTCTTTCTTGTGTCATGACCATGCCAGTGAGCAAAGGGACTCTGCCTCCTGCAATCTTTCATGATCAGGCTCTTTCCTTTGTGAAACCCTCACCTTTGCTCTTCAGTCTCCTTAGTTCTGTCCTGTGCAATGGAAACAGAAACTCAAGTTGATTTTACATTGCATCAGTGTGTTTGATGCTGTCTTCCTACCCACTTTTCTTCTGGCTAGCACAGAGGCTGTGGCCCAATCTAACTTCAATAAGGTGCAGAAAGACAGGTTTTCCTGGGAACCTAAGAAGAAAGTGGAAAGGTTTTGCTGAATACATGACATGGTGGTTTGTTTTCTGATTTGTTGACAGGAAGGAGGAGGCCAACTCTTAAGGGTGGTTTGCATCTTTTAAGTCCTTATTAAAATGCAAAAGATGAATAAATAGTGCTTTCCATTAAGTTCTTTTTTAAAAGTTTACAGCACTCATACGGAAGCCAGAGGACAACTCTCAGGAGCCAGTTCTCTCCTGCTGTCTTGTGGGATTTGGTGGTCCCACTCAGGTCACAAGGCCTGTGCGCATGCACCTCTATCATCTGAGCCATCCTGCCAACCCTCTCTTGACTCCCTAGTATATTCTATTGAACTCTACAATTCTCATTTATTTAATTCCTTAATGGTCATATGTACAAAATATATACTATTATCACTCACTTTGCAAAGAATGAGACTTATTCAAGAACTTTCTTGGTAAGTGGCAGAGCTGGTTTGGGCCCAACCACCTGCTGCTGGAGTCCATGCTCTTACTACACCACATTGTCTCTCCAACAAAGGTTTATTTCATGTAGATCTGCTTGAGTTGACTCTTTGTCTTGACTTAGAGCAGGTGCCTGGCCCATCTGTGCCTGATCCTTGTGATGTATAGGAGAGATAGAATACCTACCTCCTACTCTTGGCATTTCAAACCAAATGTGGTAACAGCTCTGTTAAATTCAGTACAATATCCTTGTCATTTAAGTGTGACTTTTTTGGGGATAGGTAATATATTCACATGGTTTAGCTTTCAAAAGATGACAGAATCCAGAATGAAAAATCTACCAAACATTTATATCTCTCTCCACACATTTTCTTAACACAAAGAAATCACTATTCTTGGATTAATTCATATAAATGCATGTTATATTAATTTATGGAATTTTTATTTCATTCAAGAAATAAAGTATATATTTAAAACAGTTCTTATGTTTATTATTTTTTTTTGGAAATTAACAATTTAGTTTGGAAATCAGTGTGTGCTTATACATAAAGCTTTTAGCTTATGTAGTTATTGGTTAGCAGTAGGAATATGTTCTGGTTTACTTAACTAGTTTCTTATTGATGAGTAAGTTTTTATGATTTTCCTCCAGTTTCTCATATAAGTGAATATAATTGTTAAAAATTCTTATAAATGGTACCATGAGAAATTAAAGATAAAACTTAAATTAATATCTTTGAACTCAGCGATTGAATATGGTACTAGTGTAGTGCACAACTGTGGCTATTATGGTAAAGAGAGAGACCTAGTATACCTTGTTGGTCATCTTAGAACAATGCTTCACTGAAAGAAATGGAACTGTGGTCAGTGATATAAAGTTCAAAATTCTTTTTTTGAAAAATATTTTATTTATTATTTTATTTTATGTGCATTGCCTGCATGTAGGTAAGTGCACCTGTGCCGTGCAGTGCCTGTGGTGGACATAAGAGGATGTCAAATCCCCTGGAACTTGAGTTAAAGACAGTTGTTAGCTGCCATGTGGGTGTTGAGATTCAAACCCAGGTCTTCTGCAAGACCAACCAGTGTTCTTAACCACTGAGCCATCTCTCCAGCCCAAAGTTCAAAATTCTTATTTTGAGTGTACTGTTTTTCAGGTGTTGGGCTTGCTGTCACTCATTCCCCAGCTTCCTAGCCCACAGATCTAACTGATAATTAATATTTCTATTCACTGTAACATCATTAGGAGTTATGAATCCAAATAAAGTTTATTAAGCTAGTTTAGATGGCATTTTGTTTTGTTTCATTTTGAGACAGGGTCTCACTGTAGGCCCAGCTAGCCTAGAACTTGTTATGTAGACCAGGCTGGCATCAATCTTACAGAGATCCACCTGGCCCCTGAATGCTAGGACTAAAGGTGTTTGCTACCACGACTGGATTAGATGATATTTTAAAAATTTAATCACTCTGTAGTTTATGTTATTTCACCAACTCTGAATTATAAACCAACATATAAGCCTACAGATATAATCAACAACTGTTTTTACAACATTCCTTTCATACCATAATAATAATTCAAATAAACCAGATGTTTCTATCTCTGCTCAGCAGTCGAATGCTGGTATGCTCATACCTTCTCCCTCAGCAGAGAACCTGCCCCTTTCAGGGCTGCTGCCCTGCCATTCTCAATATGTAACATATGTCCCAATGTCCAAGATGGCTGGTCCAGCAACTCCCATCATGTCCACAATCCAGAAATCAGGAGGCAGAAAGGAGAAGACCGTACGTCCGTTCTTTCCAAAGACACAACTTAGAAGTCCCATGTAGCACCACCCCAGTTCTGTAATCAGAACATAGTTATGGTCACATCTAATTACATTAAAAACAGAGAAAAGCAGTATTTTTCCCTACGGAGGGCATATTCCTTTACAGCTAATACATGGAGTTAATTTTTTAAGGGGCGAGACAGGGGACAAATAACGGTTTCTGTCACATCTCATATGTCTATAAACTACTATCAGTTTGCACCTTTTTTCTCACCATTAGAAAACACACGACTATCTGCACCCTCACCTCTGCCTGGGAAGAAAACTCTAAAATTTCATCTGGTTAGTCCATAGGCAAGCCCAGAACATCTGGGTGACATGAACTATCTCCAACATGTTTGGGAAAGAGGTCCTGTGTTGAGTATCATGCTTCATTGGGACAGTGGCAGGGTTAGGAACTTGATAACTACAGTACAGAGTCTTGTTCATAAAAGTGAAAGATGGAAACATCACATCTCAGAGCCATAGTGTTGGTCAACTTGGAAGCTTTCCTGCCCTGGCGGTGGGAAAAAATTCCTTGATGTGCTCCATCCACTAGTTCTGGTTCTCTTAAATGAATCCTTATCATTTGGAATCTGTAGCCTCTGGCTTTGTCCTATGGGAATCCTCTTTGACATTATTTATTTATTTATTTTATTTATTTATATAATTTATTTTTATGTGTATGAGTGCTTTGCCTGCATGTATGTAAGTGTACTACATGCATGCAATGCCCAGAAAGGCCAGTCGGATCTCCTGGAACTGGAGATATAGATGATTGTCAGCCACCATATGGGTGCTGGGGACTGAACCCAGCTTCTCTACAGGAGCAGCCAGTGCTCTTAACCGCGGAGTCACTGCTCCAGTCCCCTCTTTGACATTTCTCGCATACAACTATATGTGAAGCACTCACTCAGTCCATACTTCCTGAAGGCTGCTGAGGGTTCCCCACTTGCTTCCTGGTGGAGTGAATTTGGAAGTCTGCAGTGTGTCTTAAGAATCAGTCATATATTGTTGAAAGTAAACTGTGCATGAGTTACCTCACACTCTGGTTGCTGAGAGATGTACTAGAGACAGAAGACACTGAAACTGGATTAGAATTATGTTGACCACAAACATGAGACCAGGAGATGTCCCCTTCCTGAACCTTGATTTCCTCATCTACATGTCACTTGAACTTAGCTGTCTGTGGGGTCCCTAACCAACTCAATACTGACAGCTGCTTTAAGTGAGTAAACAGCTGATGTTTCTAGGGAGTCTTGGATTCTCATAAGCAGCAATCATAGAGTGTGGTTCATTAAAATAGGAATAAAGACACATCACTTTTCCATTCATGCTGTTTTGCAAAGTTTGTGCTGTGAAAGACCATTTCTGTGCGTCCCCATCACTTCAATCCAGGAGACAGGACAGTTTGTCTTCTCACTGAGGCTGTGTGTTTCATCTCTAAGTAGTGTAGAAACTGGGAGCTGGAGGAACTTCCTTCTGTGAGCAGAGGAAACTATCTCAGTTAAGTAACTAACTGGGTGGGCGATAACCATAGACTCTAGAGCTATATATCCTTCATTGTGGGCACGTGTGTATGTGTGGGACTTGTATATT